CCTCCCCCCCCTCCCCCCCCGAGGTTTTTGGTGGTGTAGCTCTGCCGGGGCCCCGCCAGGCATCCCCCAGCTCCGGGATGCTGCTGGTTCGGGGCTTGGCTACCTGGTTGGGTTTCCTCCGGTGGGGGGGGTCCAGCGCGGTGCCCCGCTCCCTGCCCGGTGGCCCTGACATCCCTCCCTGGCCCCGATGTGCCCAGAACATCGCTGTGGGAGTTTTAGGGCAGCAGCTGGGACAAAGTCATCAGGGGCATATGGGGACTTTCCCCCTCTACTTCCCAGGCAGCTGGGGACAGTCAGGGACCCGTCACCTCCAGGACACCCAGAATGTGACAGTACAGCACGATGCAAGTGACCGGGTCCCCACCCCAGACGGGTGACGAGGCTGGTGGTGGCTCCAGCCCCAGCGACTGTTCAAAGCCGGCAGCTGCCCGCGTCCCAGCGCCCATCACCGAACTCGGGGTGAGGAGTGGTTGGGTGCCACCGCACGCTGCCCCAGGAGCCGCTGCGGTCCTCACCACCCATCTCTGCGGGAATGGCCCCGCTGCGGGTGCGAGGGTCCCGGCTACAGCATCTCGGCGGAAATCTCTTGCTCAGGTTGTGCCGTGCTGGATACGGCATCTCCATGGAAACCCTCCCGCTCAGGCTGTGCGGGCTCGGGAGATGCCATCTCCACGGAAACGCGGCTGCGGCGGCTGTGCAGGCCGGGATGCACCGGCCGGGCACCGGGTGCCCATGGCGGGAGGGTTGCAGGTGCCCGGGGCACCCATGGCTGTGGGGTGATGGAGGAGAGCCGGACCCACCTCCGAGGACGGTGGGGGCCCGGGGGAGCAGGGGACGCAGTGCAGGCCACCCCTGTCCCCGGCACAGGGGCAGGAGGGACAGGGAAATTGGGAGGGAGTGCTCCTGTGCCTAAAATACCCACACGCCATCTGCCTCCACTGCCCCATCCTCTCCGCACTGTGCCAAGCACAGCCTCCAGCCTCCCGTTTTTTGGGGGGCGTCTCACCCCCACTCCCACCCCGGGGCTCTGCCAGGCCCGTCTGGGGAGGGCCATTTCCTACACCGCAGGGGTGGAAGGTGTTCAGGGAGATGGGAATGCCCCGATCGCAGTGAGTGAGGGTGCAGGACCACCCCGATGGCCGGGGGGAGCTCTGGTGGCCCCAGCGCTCATGCTCACATCCTGCGGCATGGGAAGCTGGAGGGCTGAGGTTCCCCCCCCAGAAATAGCCCAGACAAAATATTTTACAGGTTATTTATAGCCTGCATTTAAAAAAAAAAAAAACAACAACAACAAAAAAAAAAACCAACCACCAAAAGCCTTTTATTTGTTGATTTTAATTCTGCCTTTTACTTTCATCCTGCTCCCGCTGGTCTCCCGGGATGACGGGTGCAGGATCCCGGCTGCACCGGTGGCTCCCCCGGGG